AAATTGTTACTTACGACAAATAAGTAGTGTATTTAGTCTACTAGCAAAAACGCCTTATTGCCTTTTGCTATACAACTAGTCAAATAATAGTCTGAATTGAAGCTGGCTCACTTTATTACGCAAATCACACCTGTCGTGTAATTCAATGGGGCTAATGATTCGGATCCCGCCCAAAGAAATGTCAGATGATTCACCGAAGCAGATACATCTCTTTTATAATCAGACTTCTGTTCACTACGAAACCAGATAATTAGAAATATATTGGATGCCCCTAGTCACTAGGCCTTGTTCAGACAGGTGAAATATGTCGGTTGGTATCCAAAGGTATAAACCAGCATTGGCCTCCAATGAGAGATAAATAGAGCGATTAAGCTAATAGCCCTCCTAATATAGTCTATACTTTAATTTGTATTTAGTATTGAATAAAAATATGGTCATTATAGATCGCATAGAACGGTTGTAGGAGGGATAAAGAACCGAGCCTCGTGACTTCCTGTTTCCAAGCCCATTGGGGACAACGAAGGGACGAGAAGGCATCTTGGGAGGCAAGGCGAAATGTGAACTTCAAGGGTATTTAGTATAAGATATGAAGACCAAGATGTTGTGGCCTCTGGTATGGTCGCAGTTCGTAGCTTGGTGCGGCGAATGGCAAAACTGACTGATGATGCCGACTATGATGCCGGCGAAACGTTTAAGAATGCATAAAGTCCACTGTCAGATGCTAGAAATCATGACAACTACTATGGCAGACAACTTCCGACTAGATACGTCCTACATAGTCTCCCTGACCAGAAGACCAAGTTGCGGCAACGAGGTCAACAAACTTCTATTTAGTATAAGGTTTACTAGTAATGTAAGAAAAAAGCTACTGTGTCCTAGATTCCGTCCTTATTCAAGAACCACGGATAGTTTCGAGAAATCTCCACACAGAATATAAGAGTAAATTATACTTGGCCTCCAATGATTTATACGTGGAGCCTTGGAATAAGGCGATTCTCAAAGTACCTTGTCTATTCTACTTGTATTTTTTAACTTTTACACCAGATAAAGTTGCTCCTCATCCTCCTTTTAAGCTTTTCTTTGAGAAAACTCCACATTCAACATCTGGTTTTATTGCAAATGTTTTCGAGGTTCGTGCCCTCAGGTTGTCAGAACAAGAGACATTTGCAACATTTTCCCAAAAGAGGCTTCCAGATGAGCGCATCTTGATGCGATATCCTATCCAACTTTACTTCCTGTGTTACTGATGAGGCTGAAAATGTGAAAAATGAGCCCGTTTTCCTAGTTGACACAGAGATTTTCGCATGCTGAAGAAACCTGTCATGTTATCTTAGGGTCTAGGACCTAGTCAGTGAGTGCAACCTTCACAAGTATGCCTGAGGGACTGAAATCTAAAAATAGATCGAATAACTTTTTGTGGTGACGTTTATTTTGTATGACAGTGTCCGACGAAGAGATCCGTAGACCGATCTCACCAGAAGATGACAGCTGATTACCTTCGCTCTGTAATCGTATAATATGATTGTGATGTTCATGTTGGAACAATCCACGAGACATACACTCTCTGGTTTCGTCGTTAAAAGACATCGTCAAAGCCAATTCTTAATATTACATAGCTTAAAGTTAACACTAAGCAGATTCAATAAGATCTAACTTGTATGCTATTTATGTTCGCAACCGAAAGAGAACCAAAGATATAAGGATAGAGATTAATAGAAGACTATAGGAGTTTCAAGTAATTTTGTTCATGCTACTCTAAGTACACTTACGTTTAAGTATGCAAGTGTGTAGATTAACATAGAAAAGGACTATTTATGACTCTAAGTGATTACAAATTAGTCTGGTGTCAGCTCAGAGTCATTAAGTCTTAATGACCAGATGCTAAGCATGATTGCTATTAGTTAATTCCGTACATACTGCTTTGTGAGTTGATGACCATAAAAGATGTATTGAAGGAAGGTGCATTTGACAAAAACATTCACTAAATCGACTAGTTATGAGGTCTTCTCTTTATAGGTACTCATTACATCTTCTCTCTTGGATCAGAACTTAGTTATCCTCGGTCGCCTAAGTTGATTAAACAAAGGATAGTTGAGTTTTCCCTAAATTAGATGAGTAGGCACCAGGATGCCATTGCATTTCATTTGGCCTTGCCTACCAAAATGGCTATCTAATCCAGGATGGACCTGCGTTTATGTAGCACCCCTACCAGGATTCATTGCCGGGCCGTGGGTAATGTAGAGGCGTTACCAATCCAAATCACAGCCACGAGTGACAATGGATAACAGGGCAAATGTGGAATTTAATCAAATCTGATTACTAGTAGAACATTCGATTAAGCAAGCATGCATTTGTCCCATAAATAGATGACATTACTTATTTTCTGTATAAGTAGATTTCGAGACTATCAATGCTTCTTAAATAAGAATTTGGTCACCCCAGCTTGGTTAGGGTGATTTAAGCAATGAGAGTTAAGTTTTCCCACAACTGCAGTCCACTCTGGCTGAGATGACCAGTTTGGGAAGCAAGGCAAGTGAAGCTCTATGGCAGCCTGGTGTCTACTCAGTTCATTTCGAAAAAGCCCAACTATCATTCCTAAATCACCTAAAACGAAATGGGATGTTTAAATTCTTATTCAATAATTATAGATAATATAGAAAACTACTTATACCACAAATAAGTAGCGTCGTCTATTTCACTGGAAAATACATGCTTGTTAAAATCGACCATTCCACAATTAAAATGTTGTTTTGAGTATGGCCTGAATCGGCTTGACTGTCTCATCGGCAATAATGGCTGTGTAGTGGAGTGGTATTTTCACTACGATAATTACGACAATGTGTAGATTGCCATTGAAGGTGCTGATGGGATTATGAGCAGACGATGAGTAGAGGTTGAAACCGCAGTGCAGTTTGGATGAGAATACCTTTTGGGATGAGAGGCTAAGCACAATTCAGTAGCTTCATATGATCTACTCATCTTATTGTGAATTCATTGTGGCTACTCATCTGTCAGTTCTTAATACATCTTAAGCAAACTAGGCTGAGTGATTTCTCAATCAAGAATAAGTAATAATTTTGAGAACTACTTATACCGTTTTCGATTGCAGTGACAAATGCATGCCTGAAAATGAAATATGCGATATGTGTTTACCCTCTTTTGTTTAAGGTGATAAGGGGACTGTTGATTGCATTTTCCCACAATTATATGACTAGACCTTACGTTTTCAGTGAATTTCATACAGCCTTGCTTCCCAAAAGGTATCTTTATCCACGCAGATGGAAACTGTATCTTTGACCTCGCCTATTTCTCATCAGCAACCCTAGCGAGACTCGAACTATGCCAATGTAGTGTTAAATATTGGCCCTAAAATCTGCTAAGAATACCCTTGGGCCACAGGTGATACATTTTTCCATATCACATTCACTGGTTGGGTTGTCGATGTAGCAAAGTTATATTTGCTATGGCAATCCACTACATCGATAAGTAAAAAATTTCCCTCAAATGTTATTTGGATGAGGTCTGTATCCCCTTGAAAGTCACATCTATCCTGGTTGTGTAGTGGTTGTTAGAATCGCGCTACCGGTGCTGATGAGACTAGTGCCAAGTCAAAACTGCAATCCAACGGCGATTTGAGATAAAAATCGAGTGAATTTCAATGGCATCTTATGATATACTTTTGCCATTTTGGGAAAACTCAACCTTCATTTTTCAACTCACATTTACCACATTAGGCCGACTAGATCCCTATTCAAGAAGCATTAAGACCAGAAATTCTCTCCAGCTCTTTTCCTCTCTTTGCTGCTCTCTTTCGCTCTCTCTCTCTCTCCTTAAGTTTATCAATCAGCCTTAACGTTGTAATGGCATCAAATGACTGCGGAACAACGGGAGTCAGTCGTCGTTTTGTGGTCAGATATTCTTCATCAATCAGTCTCACATAAAAGCACGTCCACCACAGCAATGCAGCCTGAGGCGAAGTCATGGAAACCCGGTCAATCAGACGCTACAGTTAATTAGTGGAGTTGGACGGCCTAAAGCTTAGGACAGCCAAAGTCTCACTCTCGGTTGATTGAGTGGAGGGTGGCTGGCTTACTTGTGATGAGGGCCGTACAACTCGACCAAAGTGAACTTCAAAGAGGTCAAGGAGCCTTACCACTTCACGCCGGACAGACGCTCTTTCGCCAAGTCCTTAAGGCTTGGGTCAATGATCTGATTCCTCATCGCCTGACCCACGAGCGAGGCCTCCGTATCCTTGCCGGGCCCAGTCTGGACTCGAACAAACAGTCTTAGGCGGTTCCTCTGGGCTTAGCGTTGGCCTCAAGTTGGCGTCGAGCTGGTGCCGGACGGTGGCAAGATCGACGGCAAGACGAACGGCGAGACAAACGACGAGTAATCCGATGGGAGCGATAATTCCAAAGGTACCGCTCAAAGGTACCGCTGGCTGGGCACAAAAAGCCTGGGCCTGTGGCACATACAAGACCGAAGATGACGAAGCGTGGAACGCACAACTGTTGGCCTCCGAGGAGACCAAAGAGACCGCGGAGTCAAGTCCTGACTACTAAATCTCCCGGAGGATAATACGAAGCACGACTCGACACTTGGTTACCTCCTGAGCCGATCGAGCCGGGAGCAGACGACTATGCCTTCTCAACAGACCGGACAATCGATCTGCAGTCCAATCGGCCAAATAATTGGCTGTCTTGGCAACTGATTTACGCACACAGGCAGATGAGTACCTATGGCCAATGCTGTGCGTTGGCCTAGGCCGGTAGACAGAGGCTAACACGTAGCCTCCCTAGGCCGAGGAGTCGGAGAGAGGCCGGCAAAGGTGACGGAGGAGAGAGCAGTTGAGAGGGGCGAGGCTGGACAGGGTTGAATAGGCCAGAGTGCCCAAGAGAGGGGACATGTTTATGCTGACTGGCGGACGGAAATGGGGAGGACTGAGCAAAGGGAGGAGTGGTGGAAAGCAGAGACAAAAGTCTGATGAAGAGAGAAGGACCAGAGGGGCCAGGGGGTCGAGGCCTAGGCCCAGGCTCAGGCTCAGGCTCAGGCTGAGAATACTTAACTCTGTGGGGAGGGTATGAAGAGGGTGCTGGGGGAGTGTGGGTTGGAGACGCTTGTGGAAACTGACTTCACGGATGAGGCCGTCGAGCT